TTTAAATTGCTGTCTCCAAGTTGACAATGATATCTACAAAGTCCAAAAACCTTACTTTGAGGTGTTGAAAACTATTGATTTTTTATTTGAATTTTGAAAATAAATAATTGTTTTCATCTTTAAGCTTTTTTTCCCCCCCTAACCCTGAATTAATCTGTGTTTTTCCTGCCTGATTGATGCATTTGACATCTGTGAATAAAAAAGACTTAGGAAAAAAATGGGCAAATCTAGGTTAAACGTGAGTTGCTAATGAAATGAAACTGAAGAAAATTTGGTAGTGCCCTACTTACATGACTAGTTAATATTATAGTCTGTTCCCCACATCTATACATTTTGTCTGTTGGGCATTGATTGAGCTCTTCTTAAATCTTATGAAAAAATAGTGTTTTAACACGCACCATCGTCGGAGTCAATGGCTGACAGTAGTAGATGTAGTTGAAACAGCTACTGGATTGGTTTTATCTTGGATCGTGTGCTCTTCAAGTGTTCCTAGTTTAGGCTATGTGTAATACATTTTGTGCCTAGGGTAGATATAATGGGAATCATTATTTTTCCCAGGATACCACAGAAATGAGAAAATGCTCCTATGATTAAGGTAGTGTGGAGCTAGCTTGTTACAGTACCTTGTCTGATAACTGAAAATATTATGTTTCAGTTATATCTTATGTAAAATATGGATGATACCATTAGTAGTATGAGGTATGTGAACATGCTTTAAAACTATACTAAAAAAACTGGAAAAAGAATAAATTTGTGGTAAGATAAAAGAGACAATTTACTGGATATCTATTAGATGTCATGAACAGGGCTATACTATTTACATTTGTTTTCCTACATAATGCCACAGCCAGTTTATGAGGCTTATTAACTCTTTTTAACATTTCAGAATATGAGGTTCAAGAGAGTTTAGTGGCATACTCATGGCTAGACTGCTATTAAGTTTCAGTGGCTTCATGTATATTTATCTATGTATGATCATTCACTGTGTTATGCTAAGGATTCTGCTTCCGCGAAGATCATGGGGAAGATCACATGATCTTTGCAATCTGTCAAAGTGGTTATGGCAAAGAATCTCTATGTCCCTTTAGAGTGTCAAACATCATGATCCAAATATGAGAAAATTTTGTTTTGTTTTTGCTTTGACTTTACTTACGATGTGTTTTAGGGGTGCTGAGATGCCAAATTGGTTTCCAGCCTGAGAAAGAAATTTGTCCGAGTATCTTAGATGATAAAACTGTCTATATTAAAGTGCAAAAAATATTCTATTTATTAAATGACATTTATTTTATTTTTCCCACCTTAGCTATTATTTCAATACCAACTACAAAAGAAGGGGTATCTCTCTAGATAAATTAGTATAAATTATTAAACAAGATGGTCTGCATTATGTTCATGGAAATTAGAAAAGTGGGGCTAGTTTAGTGAGTGTAATGAAAATAGTCTATGTAAATATTCATCTGTATGTAAGTGTATATACATTTAGGTGGAGTGATGTTTAGCTTCAACTTATACATCTATTCTATAGATTGGTAATTATGTTTCATAGTATGTTAACATTAAAATACACTTCAGTATATATATATATATATGTATGTATATCAGAGAAATACAAATACATTTAAAAAGACTGCTTTATTCTAGATCTAAGCTGAAGGTTACTTGATATTTATCATTTTTACTGTCTCTTCTCCTCCCTTATCCCAAATTATTTTGTAAATGATGAAAGCCACACCGAATAAATGAGAACACTCTTGCTATTTTTTTCTCATTTGGCTCACATTTAGTTGGAGAAAGTAAAAACAGATTTTTGTTTTTTTTCTGTTGAATAGAATCAGTACTACTTCTTCAATTAGGTCAAGGCTTCCTGCCATTTAAAATTGACAGAAAAAGCAAAATGTACCAGATTGCAACACTGGAGATAACACTATTAGGCCTCCCCAGGAACCCGGGCCCTCGGTTTGACCTCAAATACCTTCCACCCAAAACTAGTGACTGTTAGGAGGGTCTGGGCTACTGGCCTCATGAGACAGAAGGAAAACAACAGAAACCCTGGGATAAAAAAGTGATTTCGACACTGTGTTGCAGTTTGAGTCACTTTATCATCAAAGGAAAAATCTTGTTGTGAATAATAGTAAAAGAATATATTCAGAAATAGGTTTTATGTGACTGGTATGAAGATGGTAGATCATGTATATAAAATGAATTTTTTTTTAAACATAAGCTCACAACCTCACAGTAAGGAAACAGATTAGCATAGAAGTGTGGTTAAGGGAATAAGCTTTAAAGTCAGAAGATCTGGGTTTGCATTCTAGCGCTGACACTCAGTAGTTGTGTGACCTTTGAAATTGATCTCTCTAATTCATAGTGTATGTATGGATTGGCAAAACAGGGATATTAAGACTATATCTCACAAAGACTTGTTTTGAGAGCTAAATTTAATTATTTATGCAAATAGGTTAGCACATTACTTGACACCAAGTAAACACTTTATAAATGTGGTTATTGTTATTTCGTGGTTATCATTATTTAAAGAACTTACTTCAATCAAGTGTACACCCACTATAGAGTGATTTAGTACTATGAGTAAAGGGAAATGTTGAGAATGTCATCAATTATCTAAAGATTCCATGTAACGAGACAAAGTAAAACAAGTTATTTTCTTGTCATTAATTTCTCGTATTTTATTCCCTGGTGTTATAGGCATGTGCTAATAACACCTAAGTTGGGAAATAATAAACACACTCATAATTTAGGTTGCAGTTATTGTTTTTGGATTAGACTAATTACCAATATTTTAAACACTTACACTTTATTTATTGAGAACAGAAATGTCCCAAAGCAACTAAAATACATGTATGTTATCCACAATGATATCCATAGAGAGTCATCAGGTAAAATCTCATTTGTGAGTTGTTTTAAAGATAGAATCATAGTATGCGCATTTTCCTATACTCACTACAGTTTCAGCAGAGAAGAATTTTATTTCTAAGTATTTATTTGTTTTAAATCTATGGAAATGCTGTGCAATTGTATTCTGCTGTCTAGTCACATAATACTTTTAGTCTGAAGCAGAAAATGATAAGCATTGTTCTCAGACAACATTGTTTAAATGATAGTTTAGGTGACTGTGCAAAAACACAATCAGTAGAGTGATTTGGTTGTGTGTCATTAGATATAGGATACAAAGATCATCTCAATTTATACAGGAAGGTAAAACGAGCTGTGACAAGTTATCCAGATGAAGGAAAGACTAAAATATCACATTTTTATGTCTATTGGTCTGTGAAAAAAAAAGTAAAGAATTGCATTAGATATATGTATCAGTAAGAAAATATGGTTTGAAATTGTTAACCCACACTTTCAAAACCTTATGAAACTGACAATTTTATTCTCAAAGCTACTCAAAAATAAATACACGAATTAATGGATAATTAATAAATAAGTAAAATGTGGGTCAAAATATCACAAAAAGAAATTGTGCTGTTCCTTCAATGAATATCTTGAAGAATATATTGACATTTGTTGTGTCTGATCAGAGTAGGTACCTACTGCCCAGAAACAAAATTACGGGTGAGATGATCTTCAACTGTCCCTTCTAAAACTTTATTTCTAAAACAATTCCCCAATAACGTTTGACTTCAAAACTCAGAAGGTAACCAAGCCCAACTCTTTACATGGTCTTCAGTTTTAAATCCCTTACCATTTCAATTGCCTGTCTTAAGTTTTACACATGTAAGCTGGCTGCATTTCAGCATAAGTTCAAGGAGCACTTAGGAATCAAAAAACCTATAAGTGGTATGAGCCGGCCACTTCGTTTTTTTCTTCTCCTGGTCAAGCTCCGCTTATATCCGAAGCATCTCATCTGCTAGAAACCCTCTTGAGAAAACTGGCCAGGGAGTTCACCAAAGTTCCAGTCCTGTCTACCAGACGTATTACACGGAGCATGCCATCTTTTCAGTACCTCCTGCCGAGTTTGGGCGATAGTGCTGAAGGGACAGCTCCCAGTGCTTTCAGTGGTTTCAGTAAGCGCTCCCTGCTCCCCAGAAGACAGCACCCATCGCCTTTCTGCTACAGTCATTCACAAAATCAGAGGAGGGAACCACAGTCATCCGTAATTCCTTGGGAATTTAGTTAAATTGATGTTAAAACACACCCACCTTCCTAAGTGTATAATTATCCGTGGGTGGAGGGCCACGAGGGCGGGTAATATAGAAGAGAGTGGGGGATGGGGGCGAGTAGGGTAATATAGAAGAGAGCGGGGGTGGGGGGAGTAAAAGAGAGTTTTGTCCTGACTTATAAGATATTTTCATCATCTTCCTCCTTCCCATCTTCCTAATCCGGAGAGTGATGGAGTTCAAGGCAAGAGAATGAATCAGGAAATGGAGACAGGACTCTCCAATCTAGAAATGATTAGAGCAATTTAAGTTAAATACTCTACCTAGGAACTCACCATGATTCAGATTTAAAGACTCTTGTGTTTTCTCCATCATAGCATATACAAACAGTTGCCTCCAAAGATCAAAATAAAACAAAACAAAAACCGGGTTCCGGAGCGTGTTCTTCCTGTCCTTTAAGCTACAGATGAAGGTGGGGTAAAAGCGCTCATCACCTGGGAAAGCGCGAAGAGACTCCCTAACGCAGTGGTCAATTCCCTATAGGCCCGAACTCTTCCCCGTCACCCCTCACCATTCGTGACTCTGTGAGACACAGAGACTTAGACATACCTGTGGGAGTGTGTGAGGTAAAGTCGAGACGAGAGTGCGCTCTCCACCTGGATAAGCCTGCATCTCCCTGTTTCATAGCTTGCGTTCATTCATATGTATGCAGTGGCTAAATAGTTGATCAAAGGTGGAACAGTTAAACGGATCAGTTGTATTTTTAATGGGCACACCTTAAAATACGGTGCTAATAAATTGCAAGTGTGAAAAGATTCCTAGTGTAGTCTCTAAGCCTCTAATCTGTTCTACCCTTTCCTCCCCCATCCCCACCCCCATCCTCTAAAAAAGGGAAAGCTTGCAGCAGATTGTAAAAGGATTTGAGTCTGCAGCTAGAGAGAAGGGGATTAGGGCCACAGAAGTGCAAGTTAAATTGTGCTGCATATAAAAAATGGGCGGATTGGTCTCCAGATCGAGAGGCTGGTACCACCTTCCTTTCTAAAATAAAATCTCTCTGGCATGAAGTCACCGCCTATTTCACATCCGGTTTGCCCTGGGACGTATTACTACTGTCTTGGTAAAGAGATATCTTTTGTTGTATAGCTGCAGATTTGGGTATTGGGAAGCAAATTTGGGTGTGAAATTTTCAGCAAACGAGCACGCAGAGTCCATGATGGCTCAGACCGAGTGAGTGCGAGGCGGTGCGAGGACGCCCCTCCGCTCGCTCGCAGCGCGCCCGGACTCGCACACTCGCGCCGGCTCCAGGCTCTCCACGATTCTCTCTCGCAGACTTTTTCCCCGGTCTTGAGCGATCCTGTGCCCAGAGGGGGCTCCAGGTAAGTGCGGCTTCGGACCGCGACACACAGAGCTTTGAACGCGGCTTTTTCTTGCTAGAGAGACAGGGAAGCTGTAGGAAAAAAAGAGAAAGAGGGAGGAGGGCAAGAGGCTGATCCCATAGCAGGTAGAAACAACGAATGCTTTTCTTTCAGGGTGAAAACCGCAGCAATATAGGAGCATTATTTTCTCGCTCTCTACCTTCTTTTCTTTTCTCCCTTTCTTAGGCAGACTTGAATTTGGTCCCTGGGGTGGGTGGTGAAATGTTGTTTTGATCTTTTCTTGCATGGGGGATCTGAGGTGAGGTGGGGAGGGGCGTTGGGGGCATCATCTAAAGTTAAGACACTGGGACAGAAAACCTGTCTCACTGTTGGATCCCAGGGAAGGCACTCTCTCATCCTGGCTTCAAAATGCCTCTTTTCTCCTTTCCAGTGGACGCTGCTGAAATGCTCTCTGGTGTAGGGGTCTCTCTCATTCTGAACATGAAAAACTCAACTTATTATTTGATATGGGAAGCATGGGCTATGGATGTTTGGAGTGTGTGTGTGTGTGTGTCTGTGGGCATGTGTATTTGAAGGTGAAGAGGCGGCAGCTTGAGGTTTCTTTTAAACTATTATGTTTGTATTTGCAAGAAACTTTCTTACTCAATAGCTGGAGTGACATGATAGGTTTGTTTTTCTCTTTTTTAAAATGTCAGAGGAGGGCAAATAGCTATGGTGCCTTGCCCTGGGGTTTTGTTTTGTTTTGTTTACCCCTTCTGGAGTCCCCCCATTTTATAAAGACCAACAAAAATTAATACGGCTAAGAGAAGTTGCTTTTCTTTCATTAAAGATGTTGAAGATTAATAAAAGTGTGAATTATAATTGTGCAATTTAGATGCAATATTTTAACATAGTGATACTTACCCAGGATTTCTTGTCATATTCAATTCATCTGTGTCAAAACCAGTCACTAAATTAAGTAAAAGCTATGGTGAAACTCACAGTTCTTATCTCTAGATCATTTCACTCTAAACACGTTAATTATGTTTCATGCTTTCATGCCTGTTTGTAATGGTTTTTACTGATTTAAGTGATCCCGGAGAGTGTGCAAAGCATTTGTGTAGATGTATTTAAAGGCATACTACATTAAACTATAGAGTATTTAATGAAAAATAGGCTCAAAAGGTTTGCAATCCCTTAATCACTAACCTTACTAAGGGCTATAGATTCAGAGATAAGCTAAGAAATCCCATTAACATTTCTCATGTTATAACTAGAACTAACTATAGCACATTAAAAACAATGTTACCAGATCTGTTTCTTAACCAGGTAAGTGCGTTGAATTAAAAAAAAAAAAAAAAGCCACAAATAGATTGCAAATTCTTTTCCTCTTAAATTCTCCAATCTCTCCCTACTCCTCCATTCCTCCAGCAACCCACTACCAAGTCTAAATTCAACAATCAGATGGTGATTGATTGCACTTTACCTAAGAGGAAAAAAGATTCTCTTATTCATGCAAAGCAAAGCACTCCAGCTTCCATCTGCTTGAGATGAAACATTCTCTAGCAGCAACCTGGCAGAATTTGAGAAGGCTTAAAAGATATATGTGGGAATGTTTGTGTGCATTTACATGTGTGGTTTGCATGTGAGAGAGAAATCAGTACATGGCTTGACTATAAAGTGTGTCCTTTAGCCTCACAGAAGCATCAGTGAGCACATTCAACAGACAGTCACAGGCAGAGGATATAAGCACCACTTCAGCATTCAACAGTGTGTTTCTTATGGTTTTAGAAAAGAAATGAATACAGTTGCTTGTAAAATCAAGGCACATCCAGAAAGAAAAGATGGATTCTGCCATCAAAGTCTGTTAAGCTACACTGTCCCACCGCTGAACATGCTCTTCCTGTGATAGACACCAACTTAAATAAATTCAGTGCACAGTTTAGTCATGGGAACTCAAGTCAGAAAGGTCAAAATTTTCAGATTATAAACAGCAAGAAGAGAGATACCAAACCATATTAGAAATTTAAAACCTAGGGTGAAACAACTCACAGTTTTTATGTTGAAGAATATTCTCACTTGAAAGCATTTCAGCTTGTATTCTTTTATAGGAGAAACTTAAGACACTGATATATTTCTGAATGGAGAAATGAAAGGGAGAGTGGAGAATGGATGGTCCAGGTTTCCCTTGCTTCCAATGAGGTGTCATACCCAAGTGAGGTCATTTCCTGACTTCAAAGCATTCATCTCAATTGCCTCAGTCAGCCCTAGTGGTTAGAACCTCATGTTTCTTGCAAGATACATTGATCTCCACTTGTTCTACTTTTCAGCTGCACAAGCTCATGATGAAGAGAAGTCCGGGTCTCTCTGACTATCTTTGGGCCTGGACCCTCCTTCTGAGCACATTGACTGGAAGAAGGTGGGGCACTTTATTTTAAATCTGCATGAGAATTTCTATAACTTTTCATTTTTTCCATCAGGGGAAAGACAGTTGCCCTTGGATGAATTCATGACTAAGGGAATTCAGAAACCTAACTGCAATAAAATTCCAGCTAAGAATAAAGGAGAGCAGTATGAAAAAATAATCATCTTAATTTGTGTGGCATGTTATTTAGAATACACTTAACAAGGCTTTGTTAAAGAATGTGTTAATTCAACATGTAAGTCTTAAATTGAACTTTACACTGTTTAGTTGCAATGGGACAACTCATGGGATTTCCTCATTCTTAAAAAAATTTATCCCAATTAATGCCTGTCTACTTTGAAAGTTAATTTTCCAACAAGGAAATTTCTAGCCATAGGGTAACTTATAACTACATGAAAGTGGTAAGTTTAAAATAATATTTGTAATTTGAAAGCCACAAAGCTCTATAAATGCACGTGCATATTATGTTTTGAGACCACTATTTATATAACCAAATTTAGAACCTATGAGACACAAACTTAAGAACAAAAGGTGAAACTGAATTTCTCTATTTAAACGTAATTAGTATAGCGGCGACTTATAAGAAAAATTTAATAATACGCTTAACTACATTCAAAATATTTGCCAATAATCCAACCCTAACATGTAAATATATTAGCAACTCTAAAATGACCAAATATTTCAGATTCTTCTTTTGTCTGTTTTACATTTCATGAGTCTCTAATTCCTATGGCCCATTAAGTCTTAGGCATATTTTTAAAAACCTAAGACCCTTCTAAAATGAAGTAGAAAGTGAACCTTTAAGAGCTGAGATAGATAGATGGAATAAGCTGGGAAGACATATGAATCTAGGATTTGTTTGTTAAATTGAGAAGTTGTACATTTTTATTTTTTGATGTTGTGTATGGCAAACACTCACTTGGAGACAAATAAAAAATGCATTATTGTCATATAGTCTTAATCTGAGGAGTTAAATGTTCTTCACCCCATTTGAAAATTTATATGAAGTGTTACGATTGTAATGACCTGTAGATGGAGTTAGTGCACAGTGTTTTATTATATAGTGGTTCATATGGAATCAAAATCAGGTACTGTAACTGACATTTCTCTTCAAATTATATATTCATTTTAGGAATCACTATATTGGCAAGAGTGTTTAATACCAAATAAATAATCTTGGTCCTTATCCTAGGGTTCTTTTCTGGCAATTTCAATTGGATATGATAAAATAGAAGTGATGATAAAGAAGAACCTACTTAGAAAGTCACATAAAAGAAAGATCACCATTCCAATTAGGATAGCAAAACTGCCGTCTTTGGGGAAGGAAATAATAATTTTTGGCATTCGTATTCCAATGCAAACACTTGGTGTAAGTAACATTTATAAGATACACCAGGTAGCAAATAATTATCCAAATTTGACATAAGCTCTAAAAACATAGGGAATACAGGCAAAAGTAATAGATAACTCCACATCCTACAGATCATCTTAACAACCTAATTGTGCTCTGTCTTGTCATCTTATATTTTCTCCTTTTTATTTTATGCGTTTTTCCTTAGAGTGCTTGATCAGGCTTTCCTCACAACTTAAGGTGTTCTAGCATTTCTTTTCCTCTTATATCAAGATGACCTTCTAATATCCTTGAAAAATGCGTGCATTGCTGTTGGTTTTGTAACAATGAATTTTTACAAGTAATTGCATTCAGAAAACTACTTCTGCCTTACAGCTGTCATCTACCAATAAGACGTCCTTGGAGACACAAAGTTCATTGAAAATTTGATTTCAAAAAATAGCAAGATGTTTAATTTTGCCAAAAGAAAGTAAACCTTCAAACTGCATCTTTAATGTTGAATTGAGGAAGAAAAACATTTTCTTACATTTCCTATATTTAGTATCATTGATAACTTGTATTTATAACTTTATTAAATTTTTGTCAGAAAAACAGCCATTATGTTTTGCAGATACAAAATTGATTACTTAGGAAACAATATTTGATTTTACAATGCCACTTCAATTGTATTTCTTGCTCCTGTAAAATAAGTAAATTCTGGCTTCAAATGTTCTGTTTTTTCTTAGATTAATCAGTAATATAAATGCACAAGAGTGAATCCAAAGCATATTAAATGGAGAGTTTGAAAGTGATGTATTCGTGGCAGTCTCTTAATTTACCCCCTGTATTCATTTTTTACTCTAAGTCAGAGATATCATGGATTATTTTGGTCAGTTAGTGTGCTCCATCCTAAGACAGAAAACTCTTCTCGCAAAGGATTTTGGAGATGTCATACTAATCATTAAGTAAAATATGATTCAAGTAGCATAGATGGCACTGTTAATTGATGTAAGGAAAACAGTGTTTGAACTGCAGTCACTATGTGGTTGAAGTTCAAAGACTATAAGCGGTAAGAGATCCAAGCTATGACTTCAACTAATAAGGATTAAATAGAAACAATTATTTGGATATATGAGAATGGAGACAATGTTTTAGACCAAGAGTTGAACAAAGCTGGGGTTCTAGTTTGAACTCTGCTCATAGATAGCTGTGTCACCTTGAACGAACACTAAAACTGCACTACAGCTTAATAAAATATAAATTAAGAGTATTGGAGTATATCTTTCCCAAGATCTCCTTTACTTCTAAGACCAGAAATGATAAAAATTGAATTAATTATAGATCGGAATAAGTGAATTATAAAAATTTGTTTATAAATCTTAAGGGAGTCGAAGATGCGCACACTGATGTAAAAATGTGATTATTCTAAGAAATCAATCTTATTTTTCCATATAACTATCCTAAGTGGATATCAGAAATGAAACGGGTGAAAGTAGAGCTGTTAGTAGGTAAAACCTTAGGCTTTTACTACACATTAAACTAAATGAAAATAAAACTATTAATTATTTTGGAAACCCTTATAAATAGATATAATTTTTTTTTCACTTTGGGAAGAAATTTTGCATATTTATTAATTTCCTACCATGCACTAACATTCTTGTTTCCCCAGAGAAGGTACGAATTACAACATGACATGCCTAGAATTCAAAAAAGAGGGAGATAAGTCCATTTCTTTCCATATTTAGAAATATTAAAGAGATTATCATTTATGAGAAAAAATATGGGAAAATCGTCAGAGTTAAAATATAACATCTCTGACTTTACTAGAAGAAATTTTTAAATTAAAATTTAATAGACAGGAAGGTTGGAAAATTGGGGTAAGGTTTTATTGGAAAGGTATACCTTAGTTACCTTCACTCTTTATTTATATTTTAGCTCTGGACAGCCCTCATTACAAGATGAACTTAAAGACAATACCACTGTCTTCACCAGAATTTTGGACCGACTCCTCGATGGTTATGACAATCGCCTGAGACCAGGATTGGGAGGTGGGTCATGTTATTGTATTTTTATTTTAGATAATAACATTAAACCTATACTATGAGAGCCTTATTTTTCCTGTAAATGTGAAAGTAGTATGAATGGTAGCATACATTTTAATGATTACTCCTATTTTTAACAGATTACTCAACATTAATTCAGTTTACTAGGATAGTTTTGTACACATACCCATATTAAAAGGCAGAGACCAATTTCCTGCAATAACATGAAATAAATGTTACATTTACTTGACAAGCACAATGTTTTCTGTGTAATGATTTGATTATACAGGAAAAATGGGAGTAATATTCCCCCTTCAAGCCCAAAGCAGCACGCTATTCACTCAGCACTGCTGTGTCTGCATTGAATTCAAATAGGATCTCTCTAATTCTATCAACCTAAATTTATTTCAGAACATTAAATATTGATATGTCATTTTGTGTTAGATACCACCACCTCTAGATAAAAAAAACTGATAATAGGTGGTAATTATTTGGGTTTTCTTTTTAACCATGTATTTGAACTTATACTCTCATTTAAGTTTTCTTGATATATCAATTAATTAGTTATACTGATGAAATTCTACTTGGCAAGAAGACTGTGCTTAATGATACAATATTTATAACAATAAGAGTAATTTGTCCTTAGCATTGCACACTTATTTGAATAACACTTGAATAAAATGATAAAACTATTGTATTTGGTTAAACAAAGATTAATGTAGTCAAAACAAAATATTGATCTTAGAGTAAAACAAGTGAAGAAAGAAAATCAATTGTTTTTCAAAGTCACAAAGGAAGCCAAGGTTAGAATCTGTGATTCCCAACTCTAACTTATGCCCTTTTCCAAACCATTGATAAAACTATTTAACAGCAATATTTAAATAGCAATATTAAGAAAGTCACCCTTTCTTTGCCTTAGACAACTCAGATATACAAATATAAAAAGTTTAAGAATTCAAATTTTGATTTTACAACTAAACAGTAGCATAGATTTAGAGTCACAATTTTAAAAATACTTTGGATAGTGTAATCCCGTGCGCGTGCATCATGAGTCTGTTCTGAGGATACTGGATTGACACAGTAGCCACAAAAATGGACTCCAAAGTACCAATAATCATGAAGATAGACTAGGACCTGGCAACATTTCGTTCTGTTATACATAAGGGCGTCATGAGTCAGAGCCAACTCTATGGCAGCTAACAACTAACAACAAACAACAAAGACAATTCCACCAAATGGCATTAATGCCTCTGAGACTTTAACAGTACTACCTTGCCAATGTCACAACTATATATGTCAACCCAAAAGTCTTGTCACATGTCCTTTCTCAACACTTTCAAACATTTATTTTAGGACATGCTATATAAATTCCTTTCAATTTAGGTTCCAGCTAACTTTTATTTGCTGAGTTCTTAGGGAAAAAAATTTTGGTTAAAGTAAGTTGATCACAAAATGAGAAAGCTGATATATCAATACAATGATATACCAATATAATACCTGTATACACTTAAACATCTGAATTGGCTTCAGGAAAATTGATTTAGATTCTTAAAAATTGAAACAAATTTCAAAGATGGCAGGTGGAGGAGTCATTTACAAAGGAAAGAAACAGTCAAGATAATATAACTTTTAAAAGGTAAGACATTCGAAAATATTGATGGAAATTTTCTAATCTCTTTATTGATTCTCCTTCCTGCTACAGGATATCAATCCCTACCAAATCAGCAGCATTTTATAACACATCATAAAGCCTGGTCTTCATCCTACTTTAAGAAATTCTATCTAATATTTTGACTGTGAATATGAACATCCTCTGAATGATCTCTACATAATTTTCAGTTTAAGAGTTTTACACACACAAACACGTACACACACACACTATCTTTAAAGATCAGCTGTGTGGTTATATTGTTGCTCAGAGTACAAGTAATATGCCCATGATCACTCATTTCTGTTTTAATGTATATATTACCTCTTTAATAATAAATTTGTCTTTAATTAAGTATAGTCTAAGCAAGAAGCATTTTAACTACCCCTCATGTGCACATCAAAACCATGAAGACCCATGGACCTTAAGGATTTTTAAAGTGGACTGACAATGGCTTGAAAACCTAAATTTCAAGCCTTGGGATAATGGTAGAATTGTTCACAGAAACACCTACATTTTTTGCTATAATCTACTTTTATTATATATTTAATCCCAGAAAATAACAAAAAGAATAGACATGTGGTTGAAGAACAGAAATGAGTTTGCCAGATGCAGACAAGGTATCTTCCTTTTAATTGAAATTGATATAACGTGCTAAAGAAATGGAGAATGCAAGAACTCAGGAAAATTGAAAGAATGAAAGTACATTAATCTTTCCTGAAGATTATTATTATTATTTTATATTTCTCATACTACGAAATACTAATTTTAAGGACACATTGATAATCGACATTAAAACACAAGAAAAACTAGCTCAAATCTTTTCATCTATTTTAAATACACAATGCTAGAATATACTTCAACTAAATGTTATTGCTTTAAGAATTATGAAAAACATTAATACTGGCTAAACTAAGTTTTTTTATATTTTTGGAGTGCTGTTTTTTTCTTCAATTGATATTCTTGTGCTTATTATATGTACCTGTAAAGTAGTATATTTTGAAAATGATTTTCTGTCATTAAAAAGTACACTTAAATAACAAACACAGATTTTAGATGTGTTTTAAAATATAATCAGCTACAGAATTAGTGAAAAATATTAACACAATGATTGCTGGCTGCTATAGGTTAAAACTATATAATACATTTCTTCTGCAGAAATAAAGGAATTTAATTTCTTTACCAAAGATTTCTGGTAATTTAAGAATGCCATACATTTAAGTAGATCCTCATTTCAAAATGGCCTCTTTGGTTTTATGTGAGTCATTTGCTTTAAGATGAAAAGACTATGTAGAGGATATATTCAAAAGATTATCATTAGTTTAGAACCGGTAAACTTTTCGTCTTTAGCTTGCAACTGAAAGGGGCCTAATCCCTTCTTTATCATGACAAAGTAACAACCATGTACAGAAGGTAAGGACATTTTGTTCCGAATGTCCTGAGCAATACAGAAGTGTGATAAGCTAAGACTTGATAATAATGAAAGAAACTCTTGTATGTACAAATTCATTATGACCCGTTTTTCAGAAACTCACACTGCACCAGAAGGTATAGCATTACTCTTTGGAGATAGACACCTTGGGTCCAATAACTAAGAAACGTAAAATATATAACGTGGTTGACCCAGAAGATAGAAACCAGTTTGCAGATATTGTAACACACTATTTTAAAAGACTACCTTTTCAGGGTCAAGAGCAGTTTTGAGAAAGTGAAAGTAAAAGGACAGTACAGAGGGAAATGTCCTGGAAGGAATTTTTTTAAGATAGAAGAGATGAAAGGATTAGAATGTGTGGAATACTTACAATTTAATATATCCTATTTAGGAATATAAACAGGAAAATAAATTGGCCATGTTTATACTTTAAGTAGAAAGTAAATGAAGAAAATTTTAAATAGAGTTGAATTGAAATAATCAGTAGCCTGAAAACACAAACCAAAATTGTAAGTAATTGTTGAATTCGTTCTTATTATTCTTTCCTTTTTGGGGGACAAAGTGTGGAGAGTTGCATCTTCCTTGCCAAAGAGGCAGAGCAATGCCTTTGAAAGGCTCATGGCTAAAGCACAGCCGGTATAAGAGAACAAAATGGCTAAGGAAAAAAGAGGGCAAAAGTCTGAAGAATGAGAAGATAAGAGAGAGATAAAAGGCAGAGACGAAAGGAGAGCAAGAGAAGGGATAGAAAAAAAGGAGTGAAAATACAGAGGAGTGAGAGCGGTGGAGGAGGTGAAGGAGAGGGACAGAGAGGAAATGGGGAAGAAAGGAATATGTATTAATGAGGTACAGTTGTCCCTTGTTTAATCAAAGCTCCTGTTTTAGATTCAAATCAGGACCAAATAATAATATTCTTAGCAAATTTATCTTCCCAAAGTTTCTCTTTATTGCCTGTGAGTATAATAAAGAAACCTGTATTTTTCTCGTTTCCTAAAATATAAATTGATGCTCCCTCTGAATTGCACCCACCCGGGTAAAACTTGAGCCGCTATCAGAGTGACTTCTCTTGAACTGTGGAAATGAGGCAAAATCACCTGTTAACATAGATCTAAAACTTAAGTCTGAAGGAATGTTTCAGGTTTTTAAGGACAATTAATGCCCTTCCAGTGACATCTTTTCCTTTCTTGCCCCACCACATATACAAGGTACACTTTCCTTATGCTATGGCAAAATCCCATGGTAAGCCAGGCTGATGTACAGCTTTTTGTCTGGAACACACCACCAAGCTGAGAGTTCCCCTTTTCTCCTGCTCACAGGCCCATTCCCACCCATTTTATTCTACAGAATAATTCATTTCGTTTCTTAGAAAACAGATTAGGTAAAAATCATGCTTGACTAGAACTCAAACAGGATAGTCTTTCTTGAGGCACATTTTGAAGAAATTATAGAAGAAATTTTCACTGTCTCCCTCACTGTTAATTGTGGTACCTGGAAATATTTTTATAATACCTAAATTCAGCCTTAAGTTTAATCTTGATAAATAATGTACAGGATGATGGATGCCTCTTAAAGATTTTATCACCAAGTATAGAAGATAAAGGAAAGAGACATGAATGTGTACTCATCATAGGACAAACCCAGCTGAATGGCTGGAGAGGTAGATAAATAGATGAGTAGGTAGGAATGTACATAGTGAATGGAATGTACTAAATATACTAAACATTTAAAAGATATTTTGTTAGGATCTTATTCTTTTTCCTGTAAGTGTTATAGTTTGTTTGTTTTTAAGATTTTACTTAATTGAAAGTGTCAGTTAAATATTTGTAGCTAGAGTTTTCGCTCAAGGTATTTTAGCACTAATATATTATTTAAGAAGTAATCTATGATTCAAAGCACACTTTATCTCTATCTTCTTAATATTTGCAATCT